ACTGAATATTTATTCATCTGGTACTGTTCCTTAATCGGCTGTGATCTGTCAACAAACCCCTCTCCAAGGCTGATATCTTTTCGGGGTAACTCAAAATAAGTACTAAATACTTCCTAATAGAACGCAGTCCACTTGAAAACAGATGTTTACAAAACATAAAGTATTTCCACTTTATATTAAATTGCTTCACACAGAAAGAATTCCATGAATGTTTACATGATGACAACGATATACCAAGATTTTTTAGGTACTCCAAATTATTATTTGCTCAACTCGTCTGTCTGGCAGTAGCCAAAAATATTCCTCTGAACGGGAACTCAAAATACGAAAACGTTAAATTGCGTTGACATTTTATTTAAAAATGTGTTGCACTATAAAACCATTCTAGATGTAAATTTAAAGCATCTTTATTTAATAGTATGTATACATTATATTTATGACCCAATGTTCCCCTGGGAACGTACTGTTTTGATTGATACATTATATTATCCAATTTAGAAAAGCTAAAGCTACCGAAGCAGCTAACAACTCAGCCTACAAATCACTGATTAGGAAGCCTGTAATATGTAGATTTGTTAAGTTCATTCGAGGAAACTGCACTGCCTACACCACTACCTATCTTTGAGCCATCAGAAAAAATGGATAGGGACTGAAAGGTTTTAGAATAGAGCCGTGATTATAGTCACTATCCTACTACTTTAAGCTTTAAGTCTGAGAGCAAAGAATGCTGTCATTTGTTTACTTATAAAATGAAGCGGTACTAAGGGATGTATTAGATCCAAAGTAATGGATGTTTGGTGTTCAATACATCACTAATACAGAGTTTAGCCCATTGATGATAATTAAAGTATATTTTTCAAGAAAACTTAGTTCGTCTCTTTACATCTCTAGATTGAACTGTTGCACCAACTTGTTGAAAACACATACCATCTAAGTTGCTGCCAGTTGATCCATAATGCAAGAAGTTAGTAATAATGTATATGTATCATTCTTCATTTACGACAATGCCATTTTTGTTACATCTACAGATTATAAACTATACTAAAACGTGGGTTTAAAATTGTGAATTTGAAATTGTGGAAATAAAGAGCAAATAGATTTGCTTACATTCAAATCCAAAAATTCTACTGTCTATGTGGACTACGTCAAAATTTTCTTCAGATGCAGACTGATTAGTTGGTTTTCGTGTGTACATTCGATATATTTATATTTTTATGATTTTGGATTTTACTGCTGATATGAATAATTTTTTAAAACAATATCTTGAATACATAATTTTAAAAAATATTCGTATCATTCTTTTTAGAGTGAAATCGAAAAAGAATTTTATTTGTTTATTTTTTCAATTAAGATAATCATACACAATACATATTTCTCATATAATGTATAATGTATATAATGTATAATAAATTTCTATTTTCACATTTTTTTACCATTCGATTATCTGATTGAGACTTTACAAGACATCAAATGATAGGCTTTTCCCTCCAGTAATAACTCTGGGATCTTTTGACATATTGAGCTGAAGTTATGATAGCATAAAAATTAAGAAAAAAAAAGTATGCATTGCTTGAAGTTTTATAATAAATTAAATTTAAATTAAAAAAAAAATATAATATATATCAGCTTTGTACCGAAATATTCGGAACAAGACGTTGTTTTAAACTCTGATTACGGCGTTCAACTTTTATTTTTGGACTTATCCCAACAATATTTTTGAGCAATTACTGTGATTTTGATTGCGCTAATACCAGGTGCTTTAGTGGCCGCTAAATATTACTGGATTACTGAAATTTTGTCAGGTATTTCAATTAATTTTTATATGATTTTACTCTTTTCTAAGTTGTATTTCAAGGTACTACACATATCCGTTGACGTTTTATTCTTCATTGTTTTGGATATATTCAATATATCTCTATTCAATAATTTTGTGGATTTTGATTTGGAAAGGTAACCTCAAACTATTTTGATAATTCAATTAAATCAGCTTAAATCTAGATTTTGAGATATATTATTATAAAATTTT